GATTCTATGACCTCAGGCAAGTTGCATGGCCTCCCCTGGCCCTTAGTTTTTGGCTGTTGGCATTCTCCTCTTAGTGGGAAATAATAATAGCATCTAAACACAGAACTGTGGTTACTTTTACTGAGATCACTGATATAAGGGATTTCTCACAATACCTGGTGCAGAATGGATGTTAATTGCTAACCTCTTTGTCATCATCATCAATACCATGGTATTGTCCCATCTGGTCTTAGCCTCTCTCTTGTGACCATTTCCCCGTGCTCACTAAACACCCATTGGTGTTCCATCCTTCCATCCTGCCAAGCATTTCTGGGCATCAGGACCTGTTTCTTTTACCTGAACACCTCTTCCCTATGCTCTTCACCTGGTGAAGTCCCCTTCACCCTTCATGTCCTAGGTGTTAGAACTTGGAGAAGCCTTCCTTAACGTACCAGTTTAAATCAGGCCTCCCTATTATGTATTTATTCTGCCCTATTCAGTTATATCATAAATTGTAATTGGATGTGTACATGACCTTTTGTTTGATATGTTTCCTCACTCAACTCTAGGCACTATGTTATCTTGTTCACTGTTTCATCTCCAGTTTCTGGCACATTGTAGATGCTCGGTAAATGTAGCTTGGCTGCTGAATGAATGTATGGACAAAGTAGTTTATATAGCAGGTACTTAACATGTATTTGAAATGTAATTCAAGTTAACCTTAGACCCTGTGCCAATGTTAAAGCACTCAGACCTGGGTGTCAGAGGAGGGAATATGAGTTTGTTCAGAGGTAGAGATCATACCTAAATATATAATCAAGAAAAACTCTGCACATGTACAACAGAAAATAAGAATAAAAGCATTCACAGAAGTGCTCTTCATGATAGTAAAAACCTAGAAGCCCAAACGTCCAGTAACAGAAGAATGATGACCTGTGGTGTAGTTACAAAATGAAATATTACACAGCCCTCAAAATGAACTGCAGCAATACATAACCAATATGAACCTTAGTAATACAATACTAAGTAAAAATAATAAGCTGCCAAGAAATATATATGGTAGTATTTCTTTATATTAAGGTAAAAAACCCTAAAATTAAAAAAATAGTTTTATTTATTTTTGAGAGGGAGAGAGAGTATTCAATGGGGAGCAGCGGAGGGAGAAAGAGAGAATCTTAAGCAGGCTCCATACCCAGCACAGAGCCCAACGCAAGGCTCAATCTCATGATCCTGAGATCATGACCTGAGCCAAAATCAAGATTTGGAGGCTTAACCAGTTGAACCACCCAGGCGCCCCCACCACCATCAAAATAAAGTTTTAGGAATACAGGTATCACACGCTTTTCAAAAGTTCATGTTAAAAAAAAAGCCATGTCATGCATCTTCGCCTTTATGAAAGGCTTCCATTAGTACCTATTTTCAGTAACTGAAAAAAGTCTGAAGATTTTCACTTTTGGGGTGCATTTGACTCTTGGTTTTCGCTCAGGCCACGATCTCAGGATGGGAGATGGAGCCCAGAATCAGTCTCTGAACTCAGCAAGGAGTCTGCTGGAGAGAGTTTCCTCTCTCTCTCTCCCTCTGCTTCTCCCATGCTCATTCCCTCTCTTGCTCTCAAATAAATAAATCTTAAAAAAAAAAAGCCTGAAAATTGTTTTTTAAATTTTATTTATTTATCCTTGAGAGACACAGAAAGAGAGGCAGAGACACAGGCAGAGGGAGAAGCAGACTCCCTGAAGGAGCCCAATGCAGAACTTGATCTCAGGATCACGAACTGAGTCAAAAGCAGCTGCTCAACCACCAAGCTACCCAGGCATCCCTGGAAGTTTATTTTTTGAGACTGGGAATGCTCCAAAAATTTTTTTCCTATATCAATTAATGGTAATTGCTTCTTTGCTTACACAATTTGTTACAGGTTTCATAGGAATGCTCTACTTTTGCATAGTGGGGGAAATATGTACCTATAGCTAAGATAAATATATCAAAAGAAAAAAAGATTGATGGAATGACAGGAGAGGAGTGGAATAGGGACGGACCACAGATTTCAGTTATTTCCAAGGTCACTGCTTTCATGTTGATGAGTTCTTGTAACAGTATTAAATAAATAAATGTGTCCTGTGCATGGAACAATGAAAAGAATGTGTCATGAATCAAAGTTATGATTAATTGAATTATGTGCCCCTGACATCCTTAAAGTAAAAGGAGAGAAATTATGCTTACATTCTCCAGAGAGACTTATACATTTGAGAGCTGGGAGCCATAGGGAAAAGATTCTTCTCCCCCAACCCTCTCTATGATTTTTCTCCAGGGACTGTCTCTAGTCTCTCGTCCTGCAGAGGTGAGCTGGTGGTGTGGTGGGGCAGCAAGGAGAGGAGTAATCTAGAGTTTGGCTACTTTAGGAAAAAGTACTGGAATTGGTGGGAAAATGGACCCTTCCCAAAGCTGGAGTAGGAACCTGAAGGTGTGGGTCAACTTCCATTTCTGTCCAGCTTCCCCTTCTCCCCAGGCCAGGACTGGCAGGTGCGTAGTCTCCCACCCATTTCCTGTTCCGCTTCATCAAAGACCTCAGGGTGGGGCTAGGGAAGAGCCTCAGAGGTGGGTCCTGAGAGATGGGACTGTGGCCACAGAGCAGACAACTGTAAGCATTCTGGATACCCGTGAGATGGATCCAGCAAGAGTCAAACCTAGCATCTTTGAAGTTCAGCTTAGAACTAGGGGGCTGCTGACTCAAAACATTTTACATATTCTCTTCCTTTCAGCCTGGCCCATTCTTGGCACTCAGTGCTCCTCCTTTGCCTGCCTTCCCTGCCCATCCATCGAGGCTGTAGCTCTAATCCTGTACTCTCACCTCAACTTCTACCAATCCCCAAGATAAGGCCCTACTTTGTGAAATAAGGGTTAGGAGTAGGCCCTGCGGAAGCAGCTGAGAACTTTTCACCTTATAGTAAAGGGCTTAAGGTCAGCTTGAACTGGGCTGGGCTGGCTGGAGTGGAAACTTACCTTTGGGGGAAGGGGTTAGAGGTTAGGCTAGACTGGACTATGAGTATAAAAGAGGTGCTGGAGGTTATGCTGGAATTCTTAAGGGGCTGGAGGTCAGGCCAGATATGGAGTATATGAGCTAGGATAGGAAACGTATGGAAGAAGCTTAGCTCAGGCTGATCTTGGTGTCTGGGGGTTGAGGGCCCGTGTCTCTGCATTGGGGCTGGCTTGGGTGCACAGCTGAGCTGAAACAAACTTTTCAGCATCTTGCTGGGGCCTGGGGTTGGCCATTAAAGAGCCTTTTCCTTCCCCCCCTAGCAATTCCTCCAGACCAAGGGCCTTCCCCAGAGGGCCTGCTAGGACAAACAAGGAGGAGCCAGATCTAGGGCTCCAAAGGAAGTTGCCGGCCACTATGCTTCCGGAGTTCAAAAGTGGGTTCCCCTGTCTCTCTGGCCCACCGCCTTCTCCCAAACAAGGCAGAGTCCAGGCCTGGCAATCTACCTCTTCCCTTGACCACTGCATCTTCCAATACACACACACAGAATATGAACCTGCAAATGCCCAACTTTGTCACACAATTGTCAGCTGGCCCAGCAGCCCCATAATACAACACATTACTACCAAGCTATGAATTCAACATACCCTCATTTATGTGCTTGTAGCCTCCCAGTCACATATAGCAGTCTTACCTTCTCTGCTTTGTTCAGCACCATATCACTAGCACCTAGAAAGGGCTCAATGAATATTAGCTGAATGAACAAATCCACCGAGACACATTCCATAAACAAATGCATAGACAAGCCTACATACATATTCACACATGCAGTGTTGCCTTACATATCCATACCCAAGCCTCCTCCCAGCTCAGCAGTCATATATACGTGTGTATATATATATATATATAGGCAAGAAAGCCAGATGTCCCCACACCTAGTTCCAAATGCAGACACAGTGCCAATAGGTGTTACCTAGCACTCCCAGAGTAAGTTGGTGGTAGCAGCTGGCTGGCAAATGTCCATCAGGTCCAATCTGCAGAGGAATGAAGTTGGCATATGCACGAATGCAGGCCTTGAATCCTGAGGCAAGGGGCAGTGAGGAGCTAGGCTGGCAACAGGACAGGGCCAGGTAACTGTGTGGATTAGAGAGGGGGTTGGATGGGCCATGGGAAAGGCCATAGTCCTTTCCTCTGGTTTCTTCCTGCCAGCTGGGGAGGTGAGGATAGAAGTTTAAGTCTATAAGGCCTTACTTTAAATCCAGAGACTTTAATGGGTGAATAGTCTAAGAGGCCTGTTTCCCCTGCTTGCGATGAAAGTAGTCTAGGTAAGGGAATTGGTAGGTGCTAGGATCCCATCCCCAACCCACAGCAGGGTCTCCTTATCTTGCCAATCTTCTTTAATTGTGGGAGAGAAGGGCACTTGGAAGGAATAATAAGCTGAAGAGTCTGAAAAGCACTGTTCCTCCTTCCACCTAAGGAGCTTCAGGCTGCCCCTAGCAACTACACTTAAGGCATCCTCCTCCACATCCCCACCCGAAGTCAGCAAGGAGACAAACAATCCAGCTGCTCTCTTACTTCCCCACACCTGGGACCCAACACCAGAGGACACTAGCTCAGAAAGCTCAGCTGGGCTGGAAGGCTGGAGACGATAGGGGCAGGAATCTCCTGGAAAGGCACAGGACCAAATCTCCCAGTGGTTCAAACCACCAATGCTCCTCCAACCCAAGCCCAGGCAAGGATTCCTCCACATCCCCAACAGCTTGACCCAGGGCCTTCTATCCCAGAAAAACTGCCTTGGGAAGGCCACCTGTCTGGAAGCCCCAATGGCAGCTGGGGGGGGAGGAATAATTGTCCCAGGGGACAGGGAAGTCCACTTCTGAGGGAGACAGGCCCAGCCCAGGACAGGAGGAACAACAGCAGAAGAGTGAGGGAAAACGTGAGATGAGACTTAAGCTCTTCCTTCCCAATAACTGGTCTTAGGGGCTGTAGGAAGGAGAGATAGGGGAAAGACTGTGACTGACTTGTTATTAGGCATCAATGACCAAGACACTTTCAAACCAAAAAGTCTCTTTATTGATCGGTACCATACATGACTCCAATGGCCCAAAAAAAAAAAAAAAAAAAAAAAAAAAAAGGCATTACATTTGGGGCGGGACATTCATCTTCCCCACCCCTTCCCTCAGCTCCTAACACAAAACCCTCCCAACAGTGGTAGCTGGAGCGAAGGAAACTGGGTATGGAGGACCCCAGAATCCAGAAGGAAGAGTGGGGAGAAAGGTGGTGCTAACACTTCTGGAACTGGCCGCAGAAAAAGGCAGCGAAGCCACAGAACTGGGCCCAGATCCATGGGACCCTACTCCTGGCTTCACCCGGGTCCAAAGCCTCCAAGTGTCCAACTGTGAAAGAGAGCTGAGGATCCTGGCTGCTTCCCCCCTCCCTTCTATGAGGAAGGGGATGGAAGGGATATTGGAGATGAAGACCTTTTAAGTCAGCTGGGGAACAGAGGTCTATTGCTCCCAGGTGGGCTTAGAGCTGGGACATCCTCAGTGGCTCCTTCCCCTCTGTGGAGGACAGGGGAGGACTAGGTAGACAGTTTGAGTAGTTGGGAAGAGAGTATTGGAGAGAGTGGATGAGCCCCTCCCCCTCTATCCCATGCCTGCCCAACTGAGACAAAACAAAAAACACAGCGACGAACAGCGCTCCCTTCCCTCCACACTTCCTAAGGGAGGGAGCCTCCCTTCCCCCCAGCCAAGACAGCTGCTCTAGTGGAGGACTTGTAAAGAATATACACACCATGGGGGAGGGGGTTAGGGGTGGAATAGAGGGAGTCACAAGCACTAGGACGGCAGGCCAGAGTCCTGGAGGATGGGGAGACAGAGACAACAGCAGGGGGTTGTCACAAAGATGAGGCCATCATGGCCCCCTACCCCAAGGCATGCCTTCTCCAACTCCAGTCACCCCAGAGGAAAAGGGAAGAGAGATGGCAAAGTATCTCCTTGGTCTGAAGCTCTCAAACTGTATAAAATGGTAATGCACACCCCTCTACCCCCACACTCACCTCCACCTGGGCCCTAAGCCCCACATGTGCCAGGAGTAGGGAGGTAGCTGGACTTTTTAATAAGGGGAAGAGGGGGTACATGAGTGACTTTTTAAAACTTACATTTTTAATAATATTATTTTTTTAAAAACTTGGGAGCTGGGATAGGTGGCTGCAGGGAGGAGCCAGAGCTTTACCCCTCTACTACCAGTCACCTAGGGGGAGGTTTAGGAAAGGGGCACTCAACCAAGCCCCATAATTAAGTCCCTAAGGGCTGTGGGATAAACAACCCCAGGCTTGAAGGGGGTAAAATCAGGAGGATAGGGAACCCAGAACCTGGGGCGAAGATGGAGGCAAATGCCCTGAGGGCGGTCAGGACATTTTGCAGAGGCCCAGGGTCCACATAGGCACCCACATGAGTACCCCCTTCCCCCAAAAGGCTCTGCAGAGGCCAGGCCCAGCCCAGGGCCACTGGGGGGCAAATCTTGGCACCTGCCCCCAGCGAGTCCAGTTCCTCCCTGAAGTGGGTGGATGGAGGCTGCCCATTTTAGATGCTCAGTCTCTTCATTCTGTCTTCTGCTCCCTGGGGCTGCAGGGGTGGGGCAGGCAGGCAGAGCGCTGGGTGGCCATGGCAAGGCCTCTACTGGGAGGCCTGTGATGTGGGGTTCTCCGATTTGCTTTCTTGGCTGGATGGAGGCTTGCTGTTCCAGGGGCTGTTGGCGCCCAGGGCGGGGGAGTTGTTAAAGCTGTCCTCGTCGTCAATGCCGTTGGCCGCGTCAAACTGGGTGTTCTCCAGCCGGGTGATGAGCCTCTCGTCCTCGTCCCCGAACTCCCCGCCCATCAGGGTGGGCTCCCCCACCACCATCACATCCTGAGAGTGGCGGAGGTCCCCAAACATAATCGGGGCAGGGGCTCGTCCGGCCCAGGGCAGCAGAGAGCCCCAATACCCACCCAGGAAATTCAACACCCCCAACCCCTTCTCACCCAAATTTCAAACCCCAACTCCTCTGACACCCTCAGTCCCTGGAATCCTTCCCACTGAAGGACTGCAGAGCATCACAGCCTTTAACCCACAATCACTAGATTCTAGGTGAAGTCAATCTATTCCCCTCGCTCCCTAGTTCATCTCCCCCAAACTTAGGGGGCTCCTAAACTTCTGTCCACATGTAATAGAGAAGAAACAGATTAAAAAAAAAGAAGAAGAACACCAATGGGGAAAAGTGTGTGCATATGCATGTGTGTATTCTGGATTCACACATGTTCACATTCACGTGTCCCTCTGGTCAGCGTGTGTCTGATGGTATGTGGACCTCTAAGCTGTCTGTCCTGAACATCCATGTTCTCACAGCTGTCTCTGTGCCCTTATGTCCTTCCTATGTGCTGTCTGAGTCTGTAATCACAACCATGGCATGTGACTGACAAGGACTCTCATCAGTGACAGTAGCCAGCCTATGCTGGCAGAGTACACCAAGAAAAACTGTCTTTGCTTCTATGCCTGCTAGTGAGCTCAGGCTGGGATGGGGTCAAGGGTTAGGGGTCAGCAGTAGGGCAGCCCAGAAGAGAGAAGAAAGCCGAGATGCTTACAGGTACCTGGCTGGAGAGGGCGAAGGTGCTGGCTGGGCTTTTCTTCTTGCTGTTGCTGTTGTTGGTGTTGCCACCCCCCGAGCTCATGGTGCTGCCCCCTGACATCTTTCGTTTCCGCCGCTTGCTGGGCTGCTGCCGTGCAGGCTCCGCTGTGCCGGGGAAAGGAGATTCAGGAGGGGCAAGACCCCAGGATCCCTTGTTCCCCATTCTGGCTCCTAAGGACCCTGAGCCTACCCTGATCCCATCTTGCAGACCCAGGAGTGAAGAAGGGGCTTCGTGAGGAGACAGAGAACCAGCGCTGAGAAACATCATCAGATCCTAGTAAGAGCAGGGGCAGGTGGAAGGCACTCACCGGGGGTGCTACCATGCGCTGCCACTTCTGGAAAAGGCAGGTCTTGAGGCAGTCACGGGGGCTGAGGCTGTAGGTCTTGTGACGGGACATGAGCTCCTGCATGGGCTCGAGTATCACACAGAGCTGAGGGGAGACCGGGAGGTGGCTTATCAAAGGACAGCTGACATGGAGCCAACACCAAATGGGATGGGGCAGAAACTGGGTGATCAAGGACTCACTCGGAGGTAGTTGAGAGTGGAATTGGACAGCCCACACCGGGTGATATTTTTGGAGAGCTGATCCAGCATCTGGGGGTCCTGGGCCTAGATGAGGAGAAGGAAAAGAACACTAGCATCTGGGTTGCATCTGTTCATTTGACCTATCACGAGCCTCATGACACTCCTAAGAGAAGAAGGGCTACTATGAAACCCATTCTTCAGATGGAGATACTCTAACCCTCTGAGGTCACTGTCAAGAAATAGCAGACCTTGTTCCCTCCACCCTTCCCACTGCCTTCCCTCAACCCTTGCATCTTGGGTCCTGCCCACAACTCACATGCATGGCAAGGATGCTGCGGGGGATGAGCTCTCGGTGCTGCCGGATGCTGAAGTGCCATGTCTTTATCCGCATCATGTCGTCAAACATGAACTCTAGGTACAACCGGCCCTCCACACACACCTGGAGACAAGCTTGTCACATCTCTGCCCCCTCCCCACGTACCTGAAAGTATACCTGTTCTCCCGTTTGCTCACAACTCTCCTACTGAATATACTTCTACCACCTGCACATAAATCTGGGTGCATAACTGACAAAGACCGTTCCTTCATACATCTGTCACACCCCTGGCCCTTACACACACCTTACACGTACACACACACAGTAGAAATGTTTAACAGATCCATGTCATCCTTCCAAGTAGCTAGTGATACGCTCATCTGCTATAAACTCAGTGAGGGCAGGCTCTCGTTCATTGGTGTACCCCTGCGGCCCAGAAAATCGTCATGTATAAACTCAATAAATGCCTGATGGATGTTGTGGCATGCCTGCCCTCCCTTCTTGTCTTGCTACTTCCTGTTTTGCCTCCCTGGGGAACAGCTGAGTATATTTTGGGAGAAAGGAGGGGAATCAAACCCAGGTGCTTCAGTGTTCCACATCCAGCTGGGCTGCTGACCTGGGTGAACATGGGTTTGCCATGCTGGGTCACCATGCTGCCTTGGTCACAGTCGAGGGACACAAAGTTGCTGTGGAATGCCTCCTTGGGGTGCTTAAGCACATAGTATAGCTCCGTAGCACCCCCTTCAAAGATGCTGCGAAAGTAGCGTGGGATCAAGGTCCGGCCAATGGCTGTAGAGATGGGACAAACTCATTAGAACAGAAGGACCTCCAAAGGGGTCTGGCAGATGCCAGCATTGCCAAAACAGATCCCCAGAGACAAATATCTACTCCCAGTCCTTAGAAGGACACAGGAAGTATTACTCTCACAGCAGAACCAGCAGTACCCCCAGAGGCCACTCACTATATCTCTTTGGTCCATCCTCCAGGCAGAAAGTGATGGTTAACATGGCATCATCCTCAAAGAACTCAGTTGTGAAAGCATCCCACCAGAGATTGTCACATTCCTAAGGAGCACAGGGTGGGATATTTGTGTGTGTGTGTCAGAAAACAACCCACAGGGGTCCCAGATGGCGCTCTCCCTCCCAGCCCTTGTCCCCTAGCCATACCTCTGTCCAGTTTTGAAGCCGTTTGTTAAGCTCAAATATTCTGTAGTCAGTTTGGTTGCCATATGGTGTGTGCCTCCTGGGGGAAGTGAAGAAGGGAGGTCAGTAGGAAAAGTGCCTCCCACCCATATAATGGAAAACACCTCCCTCCTCATTGGATTCCACTTACCCAATCCCAGGCTCCAGGTATGTAGGCGGGTACATGGGAGTTGGGCTGTGTAAGGGAAGAGGCTATGAGAATGGGGGTGGAAGACAGAAATTATTGGGGAGTGCCACTCCCTCCCCCTTCCAGGCAGGATCCCATTTGGAGAAGGGATAGGAAGTGGTAAGACTCACCCCACATCCCGATCTAGCATGGTGCCGGGATGGAAGGGGGGGAAGGCGTTGCCGTTCGGGGGCTCCTTCGGTGAGTACAGCTTGAATGACTTTGAGGAACAACCTAGAAAGAAAAGGAAGAGAGTCCCCTGAGTCCCAGGGATCTTTCTGGAAAGTCTCCTAGACTGTGTGGACAGGGACTGGTATTCCAGAACCCCCAGGGTGGGTAGACTTGGGGAGGGGGACAACCCTAGGGAACACCTACCTCTGCTTCTAAATCTGGCTTCAATTTCATTTTATCATGAAACTACAAGTACTCAGCCCTAATACCCAAGACCCCATTTCTTCATGTGGTTGAGCCCTGGATGATAGAATCGAAGCTCTGAAGAAACGTCAATATCGCAGAACAAATGAATATCCAAACATTAGAATCTAATTTTGATAAATCCTCTTTTCATCTACTTTATATTGTTCAATCATCACAACCACCTTGTGAGGTAGCAGGGTCAGCTATAAAATTCCCATTTTACAGATGAGGCAAAGAAAAGCCACCTCTATGTCAAGATCATAGAAGTAGTAACTGGCAGAGCTTCTAAGCCCAGATCTGATTCTCATATCCTATAGTATTTCCACCCCTTTATTGCCCTCTGGAGACCAAGTTGTCTCCAGAGTGTGTGGGGGGGGGGGAGTTGGTAACTCCCTGCCCCTCCTCCACCCCCAGGGTCTCAAGAGGGCAGGGAACAGAAAGATAAAGGGGGGTGGGTGCCTGCTGGGTGCCTCCCACCAGATAACCAGTTGGGCCTTCTGCCTCCCCCACCAACGGCCACTCCCTTATCAGCCCAGCCCCCTTCCCCACACCCACCATGGATCTAGTATTGTCTCTAAACCAGAAACCCAAAGCCTCAACCTCCTTTCACTTGTGAGACTTGCAGTGGGGAAGGGAGACTGACAGGCCTCCAATGGATCCCTCTCTACTTACAAACCTAGGCCTGAGAAGGAACCAAGGTTCCAGGGGGCTCAATCTAATAGGAGGCAAATGGTAACTAGACAGAGGTCTCTGCTTAGGTGTCTCTGTGCATACATGTTCCCTATCCACCTCAATGAGCAGCACACTATTCCTGATGTACTATTTACTAACCAGAAGTATTACATTCATAGTTGGGTATGAACCAACCACCTCTGCAATCCTATTTTCCCCCTCCCAGCCAGAAAGGAAGGGAAACTGAGGCATACCAACAAAGGTCCTAGCCTCAGTCATAGGTGCTTCCTGGCATTCCTAAAACTTGACTGAATTTGGAAGAGTGGCCATATTGGCTGTATCTAAGCCCCCTTCCCAAATTAGATACAAAATCTATTTTGCTCCTTAGGGGGAAGAGACAAAAGACGACCCTGTGCCAACATGCATCATTTAATCATCCCTCCAGGGCCCCCTCCTCACAATATGGGCAAAAGGAGGGTCCCAGAGGAGCCTACACTACACAGTTCCTGAAGGTGCCAAGACCTAGAGCCTGTATGTGCCTGCACACACGTGTGCCTCATCCTGCCTAGCAGGCTTCCACCCTCAGCTCGCCCCAACATGCCTACCAAGAGCTGGAACCCAGCAGCCCCAGGCAGGATCAAGGTGCCTGCAACAGGCCCTTGCCCCGTACATGATCTCTAACAGGTCATGTCCACACACTCCCAGCACAGCACACACAGCTTTCACAGGCCAATCTGGACTGAATGAGGAGACTGTATCCTTAGGAAAGAGACAGTCCCCCCCAGCCCCAAGTCTTCCCACTCCATAGACAAGGAGACTAAGGCCACATAGGTAGCCCCAGCTCCCAGAGGCTACGAGAGGCCAGGTCTGGCCAATGAACTCAAGAGTCTAGATTATGAGACCTGACCCTTGCTCCCTAATTAGGCTATCCTTTCCCCAAAAGCATCACTGCCCTTGCCCCACAGTTTCAGGGCTACTTGAAGAAATGTGTCAGCTCAAGACCCTCAGGAGAAGAGAGATAGCACACCTGGGTTCCTCTCTAATTCTGAAAAAAGTTTCGGAGCTTCAATTTCTCTCACTACAGACCTGACAGACATTGCCTGAGGCTGGGTAATAGTTCTGAAGAGCTACTACCAGAAGCTCTGAGGCCTCTATTTACACCTCCAGTGAATGGACACAAACAAACGCAGCATCTCTTCAGAGCCATAGCAACTCCCAGTAGCCCCAGCCCAAGGGCTTGGGAGTGAGAAGAGAAGGGGAGGGAACATCACCCAGACCATCTGTCCCTGTTGCTGCCTGTCCCCAGCAGCAGGGGTAGAGGGAGCAAAGTGGGGGTGGGGGTGAAGGGGATGTATCATCAGCCTTGGAGTCAGACATAGCACCACCCCCCAACCTCTAGCAATCTGAGGGCCCTTAGGAGGAAGACGGAGGAAGAGCCCAGAACTAGTAAAGTTTTCTCAGGATGGAAGCTGCATCCTGGGGCTGAGAGGGGCACCTCCGGATGGGCATTTCCATGGTAACCAGCCTGACCTGAGGGGAGGCCCCCTTTCTTTGGGGGCTGACCATAGGTCAGCAGGCTTGAGAGTCCCAGCGGCTCCGAGCTGGGGCACTTCCCTCAACTAGCATACCACGCCTGGGCCAGACCCAGGACCTTCCACCCACCCCCAACAGGCTTGCGCCCAGACTTACCTGGGAGAACTAAGGGGGCCAGGAGAGGTGCAGGGAGTAGCTGGAAGCCCAGAGGGGCCCTGGCAGGGGTGAGGGCTGAGGGGGCCAACTTCAGCCGCTCATGTCCCGAGTGGGACAGGCAGGCCTGGCTGGGAGCTCCACTCCGCGGGCCGCACAAAGACTCGCAGGCACAGCCTCGGCCCGCCCCGCGGCGGCCACAGCCCCGGGGGAAAGTTACAATAGCCACTGGGCCGGGGGCTGGGGGCCAGGGGGCCGGCCTGGGGGGCGGGGGGCCGCGGGGAGTCCGGAGCCTTCTTTGTTTGCAAGGTTTCCCTCAACAATGGCTGCTCCGCTCTTTCCTCTCTCCTCCTCCTCCTCCTCGGCTCTCCCCGCCACCGCCTCTCGCTGCCTCTGCCTCCAAGCAGCCCGCCCGCCCTCCCCAGGCCAGCAGGCCCCTCCGCTGGGGCACCAGGAGAGGCAGGGCCCGGCACTCACACTCACTCACACTTGCACACGCACAGACACACGCAGCGCCCGCCGGCTCCCTTCCTTTTCTCCCTTCTGTCCCTCCCTCCCCTCTCCGCTCTCCGAGCCTCTCTCAGAATGAGGCCCCAGGGCGGGCGGAGGGTGGAGCTGCCCCCACCGGCCCCGCCCCCTCCCTGCGAGGAAAGAGGAAGAGGGAGAGAGGGAGGGAGGGAGAGACGCAGGCAGGCAGGGAGGACTGCTGAGAAAAACAAAAGAGAGACAGAGACCCAGAGAGACGAGGGAGAGATGGAGACAGAACAGATTAGGCCTTGAGAGACCTGGATGGAGGGTGGGGGGGAGCGTGGGGCGAGGAACTGAAATGCTCCCAGCCCTGAGCCTGGTGCTCAGGGGTGAGCAGACCAGCCACAGCCACTGGCAGGGATGGAGAAGGGTGCTCTCCTCTCTGAAGACTCCCCAATATCTTCCAACTGCTTCGCCAACGTCCCCCAAGTCTCTCTTCCTCTCCCCTGTGATCTCTTGGTTTGAAGGCTGGCCGGGGCTGCAACCCTAGGCTTCAGCCCCTGGTGAAATCCCCAAGCAGCTGGGGGGGAGCCTCCAGGGGGTTATTTTTGACAGAGACACACTCTGCTTCAGCTGGTAAACAGTGACTGGAGGGGAGGGGGACACTCCAGGCTGCCTGTCCCCAACCCAGCTAAGTTCCTAACCCCCCCCCACCAGACTCTGACCGATGCAGGGCAAAAAGGCACTGTCAGAGCTAATGAAAGCCAATTTGCCAGAAGGGGACTAGTCTGCTGCTGAGTTCTCCTCCTGTCATCCCATGGAAAAAAGGTATGTTGTTACTGGAGTAGGGCCTGTTCTCCAACGCAAGGGGGAAATCCCAAGAGAGGAGGTGTTTTTAAAGCTTGAGTAGTGGTCCAGGCCCTACTACCTGGACAGATAGGATAAAGGACAGGCGTGTGTGCACGTGCACGTGCGCGCGCACGCGCACGCGCGCGCGCGCGCACACACACACACACACACACACACAGGAGGAGGTGCAGCCATACAGATCTCCTACTGCTTTGCAATTTGAGTCTCTGCTCCCTATTCCCTGCCTTGCCCCCCAACCACATTCACACAGCCCAGCGACAAGATTTCTCAGGACATACACACTGGTTGACTGTGCAGTAATATTGCACCTGGCTCTGCGAACATCCTCCACACATAAATAACACATCTCGCTTTCACATAAATCAGTATCTGATACACACCTCAATCTGCAACATACCTCAAATGCTAAAGAAACCCAAACCCAGGACACACACACATACATAGTCTGACAGCCCTGACTTCCATACACACTAGGACCTGTGACACATGCCCTTGGATCCTAATATACACCACCCAAACTGCATTATACCCCGTGACGGACTATTACATACACACCCTGACCATTTGTCATCCAGAGACTTACCCCATAAACACTCTCCCTGAAACCTGCAAACCATTCTCCATGATGGTCTGGCCATATGATACGCTCCAGCTTTCACAAGCATATCGAAATCTATGACATTCAGCCAGACTCTGCAACATACTGCCTACTACCAGGAATTAAAATATTCCACTGACTCCCAAATTAACAGCCCAACTCTGAGATGACCACACTTCTCCCCTACTTACAGGACAATTCCTGTCATTTGTTTCGTGCCTTTAAATTTTCCAAAGTGCATTCATAGGCAGTACCTCAAGAGAGGATTACTGAATACAGGCCCAAATATGATGCTAACTTGAACAGATTACAGTGAGACAAGAGGGCCTGAACTGGAACCCTGGATTTCTAACCCCACTCATACAAGCCCAGCCCTGGGGCACTGCAGCCATTCCTATTCACTTGCCCCGCCAAGCCAGAAGTGACTGTCTACAGGGGGAAGAGGGTTGGTGTATGCTCTGGCTTCCACCTCCAGCTTAGAGCTCAGTTTGTCTCCTCAAATTCTGGAAAGACCCCTAAATACCAAAATGTACCAGGACTCTGGCCCATCACTCAAAAAGGGGCCCTGCTCCTGGTTCCCCTTCTTTAGCAAGTCTGCTTCTCTCTCAGTTCTGACTTAACTCCCCCACATGCACAGGAGCAGAAGAGGTCCAGCTAAAGAAAGCAAATCTGAGTTAGAAGGCCCTAGAATTGGTGGTATGGGGGTGTGGGGGCAGTGGGGAGAAAGGAGGGAGAAGCAAAAAATGACAAAGGTGATGAAGGAAAGAAAAGGGAGAGCACCCTCCTGGAGGTGGAACTCTGAAGGGCAGCAGCCTGTCCCAACCCATAGGATAAGGTACCAGCACTGCCCCCTGCCCGGGCCCCTGGGGCTCCCTGACCCAGGCCTCCAGTGTGCCTGCCCCCCTTCCTTTGTCTGTGCCCGGCCTCCCGTTGGCCTGGCGCTCTGCCATCCTCCTCTCCTGGCTCCCAGCCGCCACCACTGCTGCCTCTTCCCCTCCCCCTACTCCTCCCTGCCTTAACCCTTCTGAGCCACATGCTGCCCCAGACAGGCCCTGGCCCCCTCAGTAACCTGCCCTGCCCCGGCGATGCCCCTTAGTAGAAGTTCTCCCTGCTCCTGACCAAAGCTTCAGAAGCTATTACCTACCCCAGGAGCACTATGGGAGCTGGGGGTGTGGGGGTGTGTATATGTATATCTTGTGGTGTTTCCTTCCGCGTTTGCATGTGTGTGGGTCTGCATGTTCTCTGGCTTCCCTCAGTCACATGTGTGGGGCATGTGCTGTCTCTGCTGGGCTGGGGGAGGAGGAGGAGCCGGGAGACAGTAGAGCACAAAGGAGAGACTCAGGCAGGCAGGCAGGCAGCAGGCAGGCGGCCTGCCAGGGCGCCTCAACCCCCACCCCATGCCTGCTCAAGTGGGGGGGGGGTGTCTTTGGGCCTGGACTATACATGCTGCCATAATGCCCTTGTATTCAACCATGTGCTCCCACCCATCCATACAAGCCTGGTCCCCTCCCATACTCCAACTCCTAACATTCCCCACCCCCAGACCACTCTCAGGCCCCTCCCCATTTGGTTCTCCTTGAAGTCTAACCTCCATTCTCTGTAGCATCAATCCATAAGACTTCTTCACATTTGGGAAAAAGACTCCTCACTCTTAGCCATCTTTTGCTCCCCTCTCCTCCAGCCAGGCCACCCAGACACACAAAAGGAACATGTCTTTTGGAGCACTGACTGAAGCTGTCCCCTCTCACACACACCCCTATACATGGATCCTCTTCCTGTCCCCATGCAGCTCCCAGAGAAACTAAGGGGGGAACTTCATCCTTTCTCCTACTGGACCCAGGCACCCTGCCTCAACTTCAGGACCAACCTCTCATCTACCTCTAGCCAGACAACCCTTCCATACCCATCTCCTACTATTTTTTTAGTAACTAAAAATCAAAAATTAAGACTCAGACCTCTAGCTTGTATAGAGCCTTAGTTTCTGCTATAGTCATGTGTGGTGAGGGAGGATGAAGGCCATGGGGAGTACTCAGAGTGTGGATGGATCTAAATGGGTACCCAGCATAGGGCAATTTATAAAGAAAATATACATACAAATATGCACATCAAGCTGGTAGGAGAAGGAATGATAGGGCCAGGCAGGATTCCAGCTTGGCGAGCTCTGCTCTCTCCTCTTCTCCCCAACCCTCTGCAGCAGGAGCCAGGGGTTCCCACACCTGGATATTCCAGGATCCTCGAGATCTCTCTACTAGTCCTCCCTCCTTTAAGGGCCCTATGCCCCTTAAATGTCAGCCTCAGCAGGCACTTTAAATGTGTGCCCAGCCCAGCTTGGCCTGTGTCACATGATTCTCAAGGAAGCTTCCGCACTGGCAGCTTCCCTTGGGGACTGTGTATATATGTATGTGTAGTGGGGGGTTCAGTTGTGGGGTATGGGGCTCCCAAAGAATGGGGCATATGGAGAAGCAAAGGATCCAAACCAGGTTAGATTCTGGGACACCTGACTTTCAGAAGAAATATAACTTCAGCCTGGAACAAGAGGAGATCCAGCACATAAGAACCCAGAGTCCTGAGAATGAGAATGGACAGTGTTCTGAAGCCCTCCGAAGACTACCTCTTCAGTCACACAACCTCTCTTTTCTCACGGTAGTGAGGTAGAGCCTTTCCCCATGTCCGGGGAAAGAACTCAGACCCAGGCTGTCACTAGCAAGAGCTGATAAGTGTTTTGGGGAGACAGGATTTCAGCCTATGTCCTCTCCCAAGTTCTCACTTTGGGGTCAAGTATTGCTCCCCTGAACTCGACTCCCACAAATCACTCGATTTCATAAGTTGCTTGGAGCTACCACATTCCCCGTCCCACTAGGGTGGAGATGCCAGACCCCGAGGGCCCAATTATCTGCCCCCCCCCTCCCCAGAGTACCTCCTCGTCCCTCAGGAGGGCTAACCTTCCCTGGCAACAGGCAGGAAAATTTGGAGGGGGGGGGGCGAAATGGGCCCCAATCAATCCCTCCCTCCAAACACAGCCCTCAGAAACAGCCTGGAGGGGGGTATCACAGGAAAAGTAAGAAGGAATAGGCGGAGGGGGGGGGCCAACCCAAACCAGCCAATCACGACTCTATGATGACCTGAGGGGGGGTGTCAAAAGTCCAGACTCACTTCTGATTGGCTAACACCCTGGAATTCTGGGAATTTCAGCCCCCCAAACCCCTCCTCAGTTAGCCTCCCCCACCAAAACACACGCGCGCGCGCGCGGCCGCGGGCGCGCGCGCACACAGACTACCTCTGGTACCCCCTCCCCTGCCTCTCGGCTGCTGCGCATTTGCACTTGGGGAGAGCCCTCCCTCGGACGAAGGAAGGCCCCGCAGACTCCTCACAGCCCCCATCCTCCGCCATGCCATCGACGCCCCACACACAAGTTCTCGCCAAACAAGGGGTGAGGGAAATGCCGGGAGGGCTGAGGAGGGAGGGCCCCACTCACCAGGACAGGCACAGCCCACTGACATCTTCACATCGCCCGCCGCTGGGGGCCCAGCCGAGTCACGGTGCCCGCCCCGCACGGGGACAGGCCGGGCATGAGCCGCCGCCGCCGCCCGCGGCCCCGCTGCCCTCGCCGCCGGCCCGCCCCGGCCTCGGCCCGGTGCTGGCGGCCCCTGGCTGCAGCAAGGGGCCTGTCAGGCGCGGAGCAGACAGGAAGGAAGCCAGGCAGGAAGGCGAGCTGCCTCTGCGTGTGTGCGCGCGGGTGTGCGTCTCCGGAGTGTGTGTCCGTGTGTGCGCGTGTGCGTGTGCGTGTCTGTGCGCTCCCGCCGCCCTCCCCGCCGCCAACGCCGCCGCCGCTCGCTCCCTCTCCCTCCCGCGTTCGCTCGCGCCCTCGCCGTCGTAGGCGCCCGCTCTCCAGCCCCAGCCGGGCTGGGCCGGGCTTTATTAATATGCTAATTGCCTGCTAGTGGGAGGGGAGAGCCGTGTCAAAGTGACCCGGGCGAGCGCGCAGCGAGCGACGACGTGCGTGCGCCGCGCGGCGGGCGGGCGGCGAGGGGCCGCGAGCGTTCAGGGAACGGCATGCATGTGACGCAGCTTTTAAAAAAGGAGACGGAGGCAGAGACCCCGGAGGGGAAGGGCGGGGGGTGGAATAGGAGGCGAAGCCTCACCGCTCCGAGTCCGTCCTCCGGGCGCCCCCGAGTTGGGAGCTGAGCGGAGCCGGAGCGGGAGCCGGGATTGGGGGAGGCGGAGCCAGGGTGGGCTGTGAGGTGTAGCTCTCTTCTCCACCCCGGCCGCGCTCTGGGAGGGAAAAGGGACTGCCGACCCCCGCCCTCTTCTCCGAGACTCCAGTCTTCTTCTGGAGGGCCTTTAAATCTCACTCCCCCACCCCAACCCCAACCTGGGCGGGGAAAGCACTATCCTAATTCCAGTAGCAACCCAACTCACCTCCCTAAATTAAGCACCCCTCCCTTGCCTGCTAAACCAGTTAGGACTAGAGCCAAAAGGGTTAATTAAGTGGGTTCCCCACCCTCCCCCGCCTAAGGGCTGAGATCTGCGTTTTGCTGGGGGGAGGGGGTAGTGGAATGACCGCCAGGTTGGACTGGGGAGGGGGTAATCCGCAGGCCATCGTTCCCCCTTGCGGGCTCTGACTCATCAGTCAAGACGCTGTCCTCCCTTCCCCCTTTCTCCATCCAGTCTCGCCCCCCCCCACTCCCCCTTCGCCTGCAAGCTGCTCTCCTTTGAGGGCCTCAAGACTGGGGAGAACAGGAAGCAGACCCCTCCAGTGCCCCCTACCCGTAGGGGCTGAGGCGTTGGAGGGTGGGGGTGGGAAGAAGACAGTCTGCTCGGACAGTATAAGGAACACTCCTTCCCCAGGGAGGAGCCTCCCAACCTTCAGGGACTCCTCAAGGACTCCCCAGCCCAGCCCTGGGGGTGGGGGTGGGGGCTCCATCTCCATCCCTTCCCAAAAACCCAACCTTAGCTGCCTCATAAACAGGAAATACCTATTAGCAGGAAAGAGGGAGGAGAAGGGAGCTGTCTGGAAGAGAGAGCTGGCCCTCTCCCTTCTGGGGGGTCCGGAGCTGCCAGCTTAAGCTTTAAGGTGGGCTCCAGGAGTAGACACTGGGGACCTGGGCTGCTGTCCCCTCTCTAGGGCATCTGGCCCAGACTTGGTAAAGGAGTCTCCTTCTCATTATTACTGGGGGGCAGGGGGGGGCTTGATTGGCCCCACTGTCCCCCAGAGTCTGCACAGCAGGCTTGACTGGCTGGGGGATGGTTGTGAGACCCCTTCTCTCCATCTTTGTTTTTGCTGAGGGAGCCTGAAATGATGGGCAGATGCATAGTCTGGGTCTGAAAAGAGGGCTTTCCTAGAGATGTGGACCCCCTCCATATGCTTAGGGATACGGTGGGGGAGGGGAGGGGGAGGGGAGCTGTGAGCGCAGCCACATTCTTGACTCTAGCTTTTCCAACCGTTCTGTGGATTTTCTCCCACCCCAGGAGTGGGAGGGGAGGGGGGAAGCTGCAGAAGGACGTGACTGAAGGCGTCCTTACTGACACAGGTATGTTTTTGGCAGCATCTCCTGAATCTATCTCTTCACATTCCCCCAGAGGTCAGCACTGGAGGGAGTAAGGGGAATCTAATGCAACAGAACCCACCAGGAATTTGGGATACCTAGGTTTGAATTCCAGCTTTGCCCCTCACTAGAGCAAATGACTTGGGACAACTGACTTCCTACTCTGAACCCTGGCCTTACCCTTTGTAATTGGTACTTGCAGCTTGGTGAGAATCTGTAGACAAAGTATGCCCAGTCACCTAGCTTGATGCCAGCCATGTAGTCAGTTCTTCATATACTTTAGCCTTTTTCTGCTTTCTGTCAGGGGTGGGCTGGATTGACTGGAAGTTTAGACAGTGTAGAGGAGAGGGACTGCCTGCTTTGAACCCTTTCTCTACTGTCCACGAGGTTGCCTTCTCCCAAACCTGTGGCCACTTACCCCTGAGGCCACTCATTCCAAACAACTAGCTTGGCCAGATTCCATGGTGATCGCCAATCACCTGGGTGGACAAATGGGCTTGCAACCCACCCAATAGGGACTTTACCTCCTCTGAATCTGAGGTTCCCTTCTAGATTACCCATACGTAAGTTGGAAGTCAAAGAAGAAACAAAGATTTGTGGAGCATACAGTATGTACCAGGCACTGTGCTAGGTGTTTCATACCTGAGATCCCATTTATTTTTCATAATGACCTTTGGAGGAAGATGTTATTACTTCCGTTGAATGAGCAAGAAAACGGATTCAGAGAGATTGATAAATCTGAACTCATCTGTAAAGTATTCTCCCTTTTTTGGCCTACTAATCAGTTAATGCCTCTTTTAAACCTCAGTTTCTAGCTTCACCTCCCCTGGGAAGGAGCCCCTCCCACTCCCACTCAGCTGATCTAGTGGCCCTCTTTTCTTTAAGGAAGTGTCACCTCAGTGCTGTTGACTGGGTGATTAAGGTAAATGGTTTAAGTCCTTGAGGAACCAGGCTTACCTAGGTTAAGAATCTTGCCCAAAGTCAGTCACACAGCTAACAAGTATTCAACCCAGTGCTCTTCCCCTTGACTTACTTCTAGTATAGACCAGACCTGTGGAGAAGAGGACATCTTTGGAGCAGCTTTGGGAATTGTGATGCAGGCAAAAATGGAAGAGATGTTATAGCTGCCTGGCAGATAGACCTGAGGTATGGTTGGGAGGCAGTGAGCTTATGTGGAAGGTCTTTAATGACATGTCCTGGAGGATGGCAGGCTCAGCTGATTTGTATGGATGAATATGAGCACCTAGCTTTTGTTTTCTTTTAAGGTGAAATTACATGACCTAAATAAATCATTTTAAAGTGAATAATTCAGTGGCATTCCAGTGTTTTTTAAATACCAGTTAGTGCAAGATGGACTGTAGACACGGGACAAAGTGTAAGTAGGAGGTACTGAGGAGAAGAGGTGAGGTAAGGAAAGGAGAAGGGGAGAGAAGCCCCACAGAGAAGCAGGCTGCAGAAGCCACTAGGTTAGCTTGTTCCCAGAAGGAAGTGGGCTCCTGCTTCCAAGCTCTTAGAACCTGTCCCATCCAACTCCCTCTCCTGATCTTGTCTTGCTCTATTTTCTCCCACATCTCTTTACCCATGAAAGACAAATATTATTGGCATCACTCTTTCAAGGACAAATTTTCTTTTTTTTTTTTAATTTTTATCTATTTGTGATAGTCACACACACACACACACAGAGAGAGAGAGAGAGAGAGAGAGGCAGAGACATAGGCAGAGGGAGACGCAGGCTCTATGCACCAGGAGCCCGACGTGGGACTTGATCCCGGGTCTCCAGGATCGCGCCCTGGGCCAAAGGCAGGCGCCAAACCGCTGCGCCACCCAGGGTTCCCAAGGACAAATTTTCTTTTCCCATCGAGTAGTAGATGATTTACGTCTTTTTTTTTTTTTTAAAGATTATTTATGAGAGACAGAGACACAGGCAGAAGGAGAAGCAGGCTCCATGCGGGGAGCCTGATGTGGGACTCCATCCCGAGTCCCCAGGATCACGCCCTGGGCCAAAGGCAGTGCTAAACTGCTGAGCCACCCGGGCTGCCCTGATCTATGTCTTAATAATAATCGCTATATTCCTAGCACCTAACAGAATGTTTGGAACCTAGTATATGTCCTACAACTTTGTTGAATGATATAAGAATTTGGACAGGATTTATCTTCCCCTGCCCCAACATAAGATGCCTTACCTCCTTGACCATCATTATCACCATCACCATATACAACTACCACTTCTTTCTCTGCCAAAGCAGTTTCCTGAAGTATGTAAGAAACTCCCAGGAAGGGGCGCCTGACTGGCTCAGTCAGTAGAGCCTGTGATTCCTGATCTTAGGGTTCTAAGGTTGAACCCCATATTGTATGTACAGATTACTTAAAAATAAAATCTTAAAAAAAAAAAAAAGGCACCCGGGCTGCCCTTAAAAATAAAATCTTTCTTCAAAAAAAAAGGGGGGGAGAAGGGGGTGGTGGAATCCCTGTGTGGCTCAGCGGTTTAGTGCCTGCCTTTGGCCCAGGGTGTGATCCTGGAGTCCTGGGATCGAGTCCCATGTCGGGCTCCCTGCATGGAGCCTGCTTCTCCCTCTGCCTGTGTGTGTCTCTGCTTCTCTCTCTCTCTCTCTCCCCGTGTCTCTCATTAATAAAAAAATAAAATCTTTAAAAAAAATAAAATCTTAAAACACACACACACAACCTCCCAGGAAACCTATTAAATATTCACAAGTCTACACCTTCAGATAGAGGAATTTTTTTTTTTTTAAGATTTTATTTATTGGGATGCCTGGGTGGCTCAGCGGTAGAGCGTCTGCCTTTGACCCAGGGCATGATCCTGGAGTCCCAGGATCGAGTCTCACATTGGACTCCCTGCATGGAGCCTGCTTCTCTCTACCTATGTCTCTGCCTCTGTGTGTGTGTGTGTCTCTCATAAATAAATAAATAAAATCTTAATCATGCCCTGAGCCAAAGACAAGATACCACTGAGCCACCCAGGCATCTCCATATGGAGGAAATATTTGTCTCTGGAGAAGGAAAAGGATCTAGATAGTCTTCATTTTAAAGAAGTTCCTCAGGCAGCCTGGGTGGCTCAGTGGTTTAGCACCAACTTCAGCCCAGGGCGTGATCCTGGAGACCTAGGATAGAGTCCCACATCGGGCTCCCTGCGTGAAGCCCACTTCTCTCTCTGCCTCTCATGAATTAAAAAAAAAAAAAATGTTCCTCTGGTGATTCTTATGCATGCACATACTTGGGAAGAGCCCTTTTTTCCAAAAGGGTCCCTGTCACTCAGAGCATTCCCACCAAGTGAATGAAACCTATTCATTTCTCCTTCAAT